GAAAATTTCAATAAATGAATTAGATTGTTTTGTTTGTTTGTTTTAATATTTTATTGTTATAATAAATTCTTATTTTATTTTTGGCTAGTTCTATGACTGATTCTAGTAGTAGTATTAGTAACTATTATTCATTTTGATACTTTGTAAAGTGTTATATAAAAAGTAAGACATTTATTTAGCAGTTCTCTTTTATCGCTTGCTATTTTCGTGTTGTCATGCGCTAAATGATTATGCGAGAAGGGTTGAGAAACAAAAGACGACGACGACGAAGACGACGAAGACTCTGCTCCCGTTAATTAAAAAAAAAAAAAAAGAATTAAAAGAATTAAAAGAAAGAATAAAATATAAATCAAAGTATACAATGATAATTAAAAAAAAAAAAAATCAATTTACATAATGATTTAAAACAAGATGTCTTATTGTTATTTTTATCTTAATCGTTAAATACCGATACTTAACGAATTCTTTAAATATATTTGCATTGTCACAATTTACGTAAGGAGAAAGAAAGAAAACGAATGATCTCGAACAATCATGACTAATACAAAAAGAATTACGCATTGGAGGTGTGTAACATGCAAATTATGTAAATCAGCACCTAGCACTCAGCAAGTTTGTTTGGTTTAATTGGCGGCTTCTTTGAAATTTTTCTTTTCCACTTAAACAAATTAATAAAAATTATTTATCTTCTTATTTCAAATGTAAATTGGAAATTTTATTTGAACAAGAAAAATAAGAAGAACTTTTGACACACAATGTAGTTTTAATTTGATTAAACTCAAAACAAATATTGTTAATGTGTTTATAATTATATAATATTATTTATTAAATTAATTAATTAATATTTAATTCATATATAATTATATGATAATAACGTGATAATTATACTTTTATTTAATATCATTTGTAAATTGACTTCATTTTGAAATATTAGTTTGACTTTTGATTTTTATCTTTGAACACCACGTTGAGCGCCACGTCAGCCATTGGTGGCTGACACTTCAACTATTTTTTTCAATACAAAGTAACGCCTCTGGCCTGACAGGGATTTCCCCCAAAAAATTCGCATGGCGCTCGAACGTGTTAATTTTGAAATTAAATCATATTATTATCAGTGAAACAACAAAAAAGAAAAATAAACTATTAATAGTTGGAAAAATAATTTTTTTTTTTTAAATAGAAAATAAATCTTTATGCATCATTTTTTTTAATTATTTTTTCTTATCTTACAAACTAAATGAATTACCTTGGTTACAAAATGTATTTTAAAAAGTTGACACTAAAAATACGAGAAAAATATATTTTTACCAAGAAAATTGTAAAAGATTAAACAACAAATTAACAATTAACTAATTATAGACAAATTAAAATATTTTTCAATAATAAACTTTTGTTCGATACTTTGTAAATTTGAATATTGAATATTAAACATTTGAACATTTGAATATTGGCGCCAATTGAAAAATAAAACTTTCTGATTTCTCGTCAAATCTTTTTTCCGCATTTCTTCACTTTTCTTTTATTGTCTTCCTGCAATTGAAAAGGACATTTATAATCTCACTTATTTTAATAATCACATGCTTTCACTCACAATTTAAAACGTTGAACGCCATGTCAGCCATCGGTGAGTGACACTAGTCTTTCCGTTTAGGCCACGTCCGTCACACGTGACTGACACGTTCAAGTATTCTTTAATACAAAGTAACGCCTGTGGCTTGACGGGAATTCCCCCAAGAATTTGCGCGGCAAAATCATTGGTTTTGTTTTCAAAGTTCATTTATCAATGAAATAAAATAATAAATCATCATAACTAATAATTTGATAATCAACGTCATGAAATATGTTGGGAAAACACATTAGATTGTAAATTTTTATGTTTCCATTGATGTTTCTTTAGTTTTTAGGTCATCGTTTGATGAAAGAAAGGAAAAAAAAAAAAAAAAGAAAAATTAAATGAACCAGATAATCTCGTTAACTGACCTAACAACCTTGATATCATTCACCACACATATCTTTACATAAATATGTATAGTCAAAACAAAATATAATGAAACGGGATTTTCTCGTAAATTCTTTCTTCAAATATACACAATTATAAACAAAAATGGCTGCTACGATTATTCTTAATTCATTGATTTCGAAAATGTTTGACAAATATCCACTCAAATATCACAATTTATTTATTTATATTATTTATACGTATTCATAATTGGATCATAGTCCACTGATATGAATTATAAATACCTACGATCAAATCATATAATATTATATACATCATTATTTATTATTAATATTATTTATACTTGTATTTATATTAGATCATAGTTCATAAACAGGTTTTTTTTTTTCTTTTTTTACAAAATATCTACGAGATTAAAATATATCATAAATTATTATAGTTGTTTGTTCTATTTACGTAGTCATTCAATCGATAAGTAGAATTTGAAATGAAAGAAATATTATAAATGAAAATGAGAATACACGGAAGTTGTTTATCAAAAGATTACTGTATCATCGATCAAGATCTTAATCTCGAGTACTAGCAATAATATTTTATATCGATACTGATTGACGCCTTTTAAATATCATTCCGTTTTAATACACATATTAACCATTCACATAACCTTCATACGTATTCATGTATACTAATATAAAACTGATTTGTCGTAATTAATATGAAACGATGACGAATAAAAATAATCATAAAAAAATCAATGATTTCAATAATCTATTTCAGATATCGCTATTTTGATTGGAGATGAGATAGATTTCTTTTTACAAAATCAAACTTTAACTGGTGAAGCTACCGTGGCAGGAGCCGTTTCATTAACAGGAATAGCTTACGATGATAAAACAAGGACACTTTATCTTAGTGATCCTAAAAACAACATATCGATATTTAGTAATGATTTAACTACGAGAAATTTAACCTCTAAACCTCTGTTAGTGGGTAAGTCAAATAATTATCTTACAATTTCTTTCTAAATACCTTTTTTAACTTCAAACACATTTTCCCGCTTAAAACTTATTCGATCACGTGGTATTTGAAATAAACGAATAAGGAAAAAGCGCGGGAACGGGACTTCCCCCCATCTAAAAATCAACGTTAATTTTAACATTTGATAATTTTGATGCGTGTAAACTGTTTATTGTTCGATAAAATTAAGTTTTTTACGTTGTTATTCAATAAATACTCAAAGAAAACAATTCAATTTCAATCAGTGTATGTTTTTATGTCTCTTTAGAACAGGATCAGACGTATATCGTTGCGATGGCATTTGATTCAACATCTCGTACACTTTTCTGGAGTGATGCCTTTAAAAGAACAATTATGAAGATGCATGTACCATTGGTAGGCCCACCTGGAAAACCAGTCCTTCTTCATACGCTCAAAGGAATTCCACGTGGTATCGCTCTTGACATATGTAACAGGTGTGCTTCACTTTCTTTCTCGTTCCTTTCACTTTCACTCGATCTCTATTTCTATTTCTCACATTTTATTTCTCACTTCATCGTACTGATTTTTTTCTTTTTGTTTTTCTTTTCTTTATGCACTATTCTCTTTAGCCATGTTTACTGGACCAACACTGACAAACCAAATCCAAGTATCGAAAGATCGAACATGGACGGTACCAATCGAACAACCGTAATAACGAAGAATCTTTACGAACCAATGGGTCTAGTGATCGATCATAATGAAGGTAAACTTTATTGGTCTGACGATGAAGAAGGTATATACTTCAAAATCGAACGTAGCAACCTAAACGGTACCGAACGTGAAAAGGTATTGCACAGTAGAAATCAACAACCAGTTTATTTAACGATCGATAAGGATTTCGTTTATTGGACTGATTGGGTACACTCGACTGTTTGGATGATGCTTAAAAATACAACTAATCCTGATTCACCGATTATTTTTAAATCATATCGCAACACTGATCCCGCCGCTATTATCACACGCGACAATGTTGATACTATCGATTGTGAAGCTATACTCAAAAAACAATCCGGAAAAATGGAAGTTGCTGAAGTATCACAAAAATCAACTATTCTTGAATCTTATAACAATTTGACAACTAGTACGGAAGAAGTTGAATCGGATAATTCACAAACATGTTTAAATGGTGGTCTCTTTGATCGTACTGTACGTACTTGTCGTTGTAAATCTGGGTAAGATATTTGTAATTGTAATTTGTAATTGTTTATCTTGTTCATATATCATTTTTGTGTTAACAAAATGATACTTTTGATACAGTTACACCGGTACAATGTGCGAAATTTCTCTCTGTCACAATTATTGTCTTCATGGTGAATGCATCGTAACAGATTATGGTGGAGTCAAATGTAATTGTAATGGCACATTTACCGGTAAACGATGTGAAATAAATCTTTGTGAAAATTATTGTCTCCACGGTGGCATATGTTTCGTTCATGAAACTTTTCCTTTCTGCGAATGCAAATATTCGAGTGGTCCACGTTGCGAGGTACTTAATGAAACACCTAAGGTGGAAATACCTAAATTGGAAACACCTGCCTTAAGTCTATCTAAATTTGAACATGGTGATTCAATTTTATGCAGGTAAATAAAATAAAATACAATTTTTGGTATAATTTATGTGGGACGAGCGCTTCCATGCCAAACTTATTGGGCGTTCGTGAGAAGAATTGGTCGTTGGGCCCTGGGATAGCTCAATTGGTTAAAAGAGCAGTCGCCCGGAAAGCGAAAGAGATCCGTGGTTCGAGTCGCCCGGTCCAGTCAGTCCAGTGGTCCAATTGTTTTCACGAATCCCACACATGGGGGCTCAGCCGGGATGAAGGGTCTGTTTCGTAACACGTTCCACAGTCTTACAACGCCACGAAAACAAATTAAAGACGAAAGTTGGTGGCGAAGGATGCCCCAGAAAGAGAATATGATGTTGGGTGGCATAACATTCAGGGTTGAATGTTGTAAAAGGGGGGGTGGAATGTGGGACGAGCGCCTCCATGCCAAACTTATTGGACGTTCGTGAGAAAGGATTGGTCGTTGGGCCCTGGGATAGCTCAATTGGTTAAAAGAGCAGTCGCCCGGAAAGCGGAGGAGCTGACTGGACCCGGTCCAGCGGTCCAATTTTTTTCACGAATCCCACATGTATTGTTAACAAAAAAAAAATAATATTCAATGTTTAATTAACTTCTCATTAATAATTTTTGTTTGGATGTTTTGACAGGTGTACTGAGAATAACAATACCTCAGAAAAGATGATTAATCAAAATGAAAATTGTCAATACAAGACATTAATATTTGTACTTATCGGTTTAATAATTGTACTTATCATATTAATCATCGTAATGAGTTTCTATTTGAACAAATTACGTCGTCGTCCACGAATCAAGAAAAGATTCGTAGTTAGCAAAAGTGGTGTTACGCCATTAACATCGAGGCCTCAGTTAACGGATAATCAATGCGAAATTACTATAGAAAATTGCTGCAACATGAATATCTGCGAAACAGTGAGTGATATACCATTTAAATAGTTAATTGTAAGGTAGCTCACGAAGTAAACACAGTGTGTATGTGTGTGAATGTGTGTATGTATGTTTTGCATGTATTTGTGAGAAATTGTCACTCGATACTCTCGCACACACATATATATATATAGTTCATTCTTTCTAAATAAAAAGAGAGAACAAATTAACGGTATATAATTCGCAACAGTATTAAAAACGAGATCAAATATATTTTTTATTAATTAATTCTATTTTTTTTTTGTTAATTGGTTAATTAAATATTTTATTAAAACAATTATGAGATCTCGAGGTATATTTTTCAGTATTGTTTTGAATGAAAATCATTCCTTCCTTCGTTAGACAACTTCCTTGAGAAAATGTATTTTATTTTATTTTTTTTTTTTTTGGGGTGATAAGAAAATATAATTTAAAAAAAAAAAAAAAGTGTATAAATAATTAACATTTATAAATAATGTGCAAGGAAAAAAACTGAATTGTGTCGCAAAAAAGTAAGCTCATGTTGTTGACAAGTTTTAAGAGTCGAGTTCAAGACCGGTTAATATTTTTTTTTTTGTTTTTTTCAAGATAATGTAATAAAGCTATTTAACATTTAATTACATAATATAATTCATACGAGTTATAAATAATAAAAGAGAGGGGGAAAACAAATAATAAGAGTATTTTAATATGATTTGACATATTTTTCACGATATGTTCAAAGAACTATTGAAATATTTCTTATAATAATTCATCATTGTGTTTTCAAAATATCTTTTTATTTTAGATAATAATACGTTATTTGTTGCTACAGTTGATTATAAAAAAAAAATGGTTCAATTGTTTATTAATACGTTTTATATAAGATAAGATGAGATAATTAATGGGGCCGCGATTCTTTGTTCCAATTATGTCAACTTATCCCAAATGGTTCCCATCATATTTTTCATGATTTTTTTTTATTATTATTATACTTCTCATTAATTTAATTCATTATTAAAATATATATATATATATAATTTTGCAACGGGGTGGTAAAAAGACAATCTCATTTCGATTAATTAAAACTTCATTTGACTTATTTTTTTTTTCTTCATTCGTGATATTTATACTCACTTTTCTTAATTAATTTTCTATTTTTCTTTTTTTTTTTTTTTACACGATAATGTGTGCGTATTCTTTAATTATAATAATAATAATAATAATAATAATAACAATGATCGCGTTATAATTAAATTTATAACGACTAATTAATTAACTTAATCAATTTGAAACAATCAGTATTTTGTATATTTCATTCCACGAAAAAAAAAAAAAAAGAAATGTTATAAAAAGTATTAATATTTATTAATAATAACAATTGTAATTAATAATATTATTTTTGAATCACTTATTATGACGGTATTTGGAAAAAAAAGAAAAGCATGAATAAGAGAATGCAATTTTTCATTCATTTATTTGTAATTCATTAATACTTTAATGGCCGCACGTTTTTTTTACCTAAGTCAAACGTCGTACTATTTTTTTCTTTTTTTGCAAAAATTCATTTAAAGAAATTTTCTTAAATTCATGAAAAAATTAACATAAAATTAACAACAAATGTAATTTTATATTATTATAATTTTAAATATATATATATATAAAAGTTATAAATAAATTAACAATTGTTTTGCACGGCTATCATCACAAACACACACACACACACACTAGATGTTGTGTGAGCGGCCATTAAAGTGTTCATTCGAATAATTAAATATAAAGTAGTAGAAAAATGGCACTGAGATTGATTAATAAGATCGTTATCAAACTTTTTCAAATGCAAATGATTACTAAAATGCAAAATAAAAGAAAAAGGTTCTTTTTCCTTTTTTTTCCAGCCATGTTTCGAACCAAAATTACGTACACCGATGACTAAGAGTAATAATCCTAAAAAGGATGAGAAGAATTCTCTGTTGGATAATATGGAAGGAAATTCGTGCTAACACAAACTAATTAATCGTCTTAGAAAATGGCGAAAACTCGATGAAAACGGATTCTACAATGACGTCGTAAGCCTGTCGCGAAATTTTTATTCACGGTGATAGAATACGTCTGTTGTTGTTCGTGTGTCTGTCTGTCTGCTGTCTGACTGACTGTCTGACTGTCTGTCTGTCTGTCTGTCTGTCTGTCTGTTTGTCTGTTTGTGTCTTTAAGATGTGCGTGTACATATTACGAACATTTCACTAAAAAAAAAAAAAAAGAAAAGAAAAAAAAATGAAACAGAAAAAATCTAATAGTATTGTTATTAAGTTTGGTGAATGAAATTGTGTAAGTAGTAGTAATAGTAGTAGTACTACGTGAGTTTTACTTGCACATTATGAAGACGTGAAGTAGAGTGGAGTGGAGTGGGGGCGGGTGGTCAAGATAAATTGAATAATTGATTTAATGAAATTAAAGGAAAAAAAATTAGAAAAAAAAAGGAAAGATAGAAAAGAAAGGTACTACTAAAGTCAAAATGATGATGTTTTTTAAAAAAAACGTTCTTATTCCTTAAATCGAATATGTAAAGGGCTGTGCTTATATACACAAATTGATTTGAATCGATTAATGAAATTTAAAACGTGATTTACTTAATTATTTGTTTCTTTTTTGTTTTTTTTTTTAGTTTAATAAGTTACGTACTTAGAAGAGACAAATTAATATTTTTTGTTCTTTTTTTTTTTTTTTTTTTACACAAAAATATAATTCATTTTTTTTTTTTTTTTGGTTAATGTGTGTGTATATATATATATATACATATAATAGCAACAAAATAATAGAAATAATAGTTTGACAAATTTAATACGAACCTAATATCTGATTCGTACAAAAAAAAAAACAAACAAACAAACAAAAAGAAAAAAAAAGTAACTAGAGATTTGTCATTGAGTTAATTTTTGTTACCTATGTTAAACCGTCTATTATTTTGTTATATATATATATATATACTATATGCTGTATATATATACATATATCTAAGATATACAGAATACATTATAATCTATAGTATATATATATATATACTATATACTGTATATATATATATATATATATACATATATACTATAGTATAGTACATACTATACTATACTAAGAATTTTTTTAATTTAAAATTAATTAATTATGTGCATGCCAATTTAGGGTTGTTAGCGAGCAAACGAATGCTGCCACATTTTGTGCATTATGCTCTAACATAAAATACACATATACATACATATATATATATATATATATATATATATATATATATATATGTGTGTGTGTATGTGTGTATGTAAAAGTTTACAAGAAAAGCTACGCTTAACGTAATACTTGTGCAATATACTCGTATATATATATATAAACAAACAAAAACAAAAATAAGCTGCCTTACAAAAGAAAAACATAAACAAGAAAACTTGATTAATTATTTGAAAGTACCATTGAGTACATTCCTAAGAAAAATTTCATTAATTTGACTAATTTTTTTGTTTTTTTTTTGTTTTTTTCATACCAATTCATTTCTGGTATTTAAGAAACCATTTATAAGCAGTAAAAAGAAATCATTTCATATACTAAGCTCAAACTGACACTCAAAACATTCACATTTACATTCACCCTCACACACACCCACTCGCCACAAATGAGAACTGTCACCAAGATACTGTCACCAAGATACTGTCATCAAGATACTGTCACCAAATTTAATTTTTATCATCTGAAAAAAAAAAAAAGAAAATGAATTCATTTCATCGTCAAAAGTTAACTTACTATATCAAAAACATCAAAATGTACATGTATGTATATTACACACAATATATGCACACTCATATGCGCGCGCGTTTGCTTACGTGAAAGTAATATTATTTTTTAATTTTTCATTTTTTATTTCATTTTCGTTTTTGTTTTCGTTTTCGTTTTTTTTTTTTTTTGTATTTCTTCTTCTAATTTCATTTTTATTCTTATTCATTTTTCAAATAAATTTTAGGATATTCGAAATAGTCGTGTTCGATTAAACTATACCAAGTTATATTTCATCATAATTATTAATCAACAATTATCTAATGTCATCCATCCCTTAATTCTCCTCAAAGTACAATATATGCATACCTATATACCTATATTAACACATATTCATCTGTTTATATATATATATATATATATGTATATATATTTATAAACATGGTGGGACCGGAAAGTAATGTTGCTTTTTAACCTTAAATTTAAAAAAAAAAATACATTTTTAACAGATTTTTATTTTTAAATAATAACATAACCTCGTTATCAACAACCTTTTTTTCATCTAGTATACCAATTTTTAATATTTAATTATTTTTTTTTTATTATTCTTTTAATTCAAATATTAGAATTGACATACGTGGAGACGCCATTACTTTTCTGATCCCCCTAATATAATATATATAATATAATATAATATAATATTATATATTAATATTTAAATATATATAATATAATAATAGTAATATATATATAATATTTATAATTATTATATTATATAATATATAATAATATATTATATTAT